GCCGCAAGCACCTCGGCCGCGCTGGGCGCCGCTGGGAGGTCGGGCACCTCCAAGGGGCCCGAGGGCAGCACCCACGGCTGCAGGCAAGAGGGTAAAGCATAGGGGTCTCGCGCTCGGCAGAGCGCCCGCACGACTTCCACCGGGCGTCGACGTGCGGACCCTGTCGCTGTCAACTGCCCACCCAAAAAAGCATCCCATCGGCCACACAGACCCAGCCCCTAGGTCTCTCAAGCGGGCCCCGCCGTCACGGCCCTGCCGCCCCGGCCCCGCCTCCGTCGGCGCCGCTCCCGGCCCCCCGTGCTCACGTCGGCGGCGGTCTGCAGCAGCGCGAGCCGCATGGGCGGGGACGGCACGAGCAGCGCCATCTGGACAAACAGGTCGTCCGCGCCGGGGCAGCGGCCAAAGATGGCGAAGAAGCGGTCCCGGAACTCGCGCGGCCCTATGGCGCCCGTCCTGGCGGCGTTGGGGGACGGCGCGTCGGGGGAAGGCAGGGGCGTCGGGGGCCGCGCGGCTCCGGGAATGGGACAAGCGGGATTCGGCGGCAGCCGCAGGGCTGTGGCGTGCTGTTGATGGGGCGCGGGCTCGTTTCCGCAGGCGTGCGTCGCTCGGAGCTGTGCGCTGCCGTCGCAGGTGGCGTCGCATCCGCCGCCAACACAGCAGGTGGGATCTGGACCGCCGTGCAAGCCCCCGCGCTCTTCAAATGCTAAGAGTGGCGCGGCTGGGGAGCTGCCGCTCACATGTATTCCTTCCCGTCCTGCTTGAATATGTCGTATGCAAAGGGGTCTGCGCGGGCACACAAGGCAGGATGGGTGGGCGGCTGATGTCAGCGCTCAATGTGCGCAGCCTGCTTTTCGAGGCTGCTGGGAAGGCGGCTGCGTCCGTGCTGCGATGGGCCCCTTGCGCTGGACCAGTGGGACAGGGAAGCGAGTGCTGGATGCGGGGCCACAGGCGCTGTGTGTCCCTCCCGCACTGCAACGCCGCCCGAGCGGCTGCAGGGGCACGGCACGCCGGCTGCACCTGGGTATGTAAGGGCCTTCATCCGGCGCGACAGCAGCCGGTTCCGCTCCTGCGGCACCTCCGGCAGCAGCGGCCGCCAGCGCTGCGCGAGCGCCGCCAAGTGCTGCGGCCCGAGCGCGGCGCCGCGCGGGGGCAAGCCACCGCTGGGGGCGGGGGCGGGAGGGGGGGGTGGGCCCCCGCCTGGGGGCTCGGGCGCTGCCATGCGCACGAGCGACCGCCGGCTGAATGTGCTGCTGCTGTTGGTGTAAAACCGTATGCCGTGGCGTCCCACTAGATGATGAGTGGCGGCCTGCGGGGAAGCGCGGCACCCACTGAATGCGGCGTCTCGGCCACGCAGCGTGCGGAGCGCGCCACGGCCGGCACGCACGACACCCCATGCAATGCAACACGTGACGCGTGGGTGAATGTATTAGACCTACTCTGATCGCAGTGTTGGTGATATTGATGCAGCTAGCCGAGCTCCTGTGGCCAACGCTGCATGGCTGCCAATTGATGCAAACCTTGGCCGAGATCGACAGTGCCATGACTATATTAGTATTACGAAGCGCATCTAGGATTCATATGCAACCTTATCGAAGAGGCAGACGAAACTGAACACTGGCATGCTGCGTTGATCTCTTGTTTCTAGTCGTAGAGACCCTTATAGATATCAGTGACGCCATCAATGCAACTTACAAGCACATGGATCACTGATACAGGTGCCAGGGCACTAGCCAGCAGCTGAACGCAACAATTTCGAGCCGTCGCAGTCAGGGGTCGCAGGGGCCGAGGGGTGACTTGCATGATTGCAGGGTGGTCTACCACCCTGTGAGCAGCACAGTGTGTATCATAAGCGCAAGCGGTACTTGTTGTGGCTCTCCCAGCGCATGATGATGGTGAATCAGGCATGGGCAGGGACAACCCATACGTGTTGTGCCTACTCCTACTTACATCCGCGGTGTGTGTATGCCTTCACTGCAGGCCAGCCCTCCACGGTGTTGCCTAAAGTTCATGACATCCCCATGCTGTTTAGGAGGGAGTGGTCCGCTGTCCCTCCGCGCTCCCCCCCCCCCCCCCCCCCCCCCCC